TCTTGTGTGTGTGTGTGTGTGTGTGTGTGTGTGTGTGTGTTTAATTTTTATACAGCATTATGATTTAAATATAAAATGTCTTTCAAAGACTCAGGTACAAGGACTTGATCCCCAATGCAACAATGTTCAGAAGTGTGCCCTAAAGGGATGACTGAATCATAAGGGCTTTAATTTAATTTCATTTAATTTCATTTAAGATCATTTTGATGGCATTATTATTGAGAGATGACAAAAATAGCAGGTGGCAGTCCAGTTGAATGGAGTATACTGATCATGAAGATGTGACTTTAAGGCTCAATCTAGTCCCTAGCCCCTTTCTGCTTGGCTCTCATTCCTTCTCTACTTCCTGGATGCCATGAAATAAGAAGCTTTCCTTATATGCTCTTCTGCCATGATGTTTCTGACTCACTATGGGCCTAAAAGCAATGGAGCCAGCAGACCATGGACTGAAACTTCTGAAGCCATAAGCCAAAATAAATCTTTCTTCCTTTAGGCTGACTTCACAGATATTCTGTTATAGCAACAGAAAGCTGACTAATATAGAGAGGGTCTCACTAAATTGCTTAGGCTGGCCTCAAACTTTCAATTCTCCTGCCTCAGCCTCCCAAATATCTGGAATTATAAGTAAGAACTACCACTCCTGCCTCCACCATTCAGGTGTTGTAAAACAATCTTCTATTTCTCTTACTATATTCATGCTTCCTTTGACATTCTTGAACATTCATGCACACCTACACACCTATACATTACACATGTACATATAAATACACCCCCCACCCTATTGCTGGTAGTACTGGGGGTCAGAATCCACGGCCCTTGTACTGAGCTTCATCCCCCCTTTTTAGTCTTTGTTTGTTTTGCTTTTTTGGTACCGGGGATTGAACTAAGGTCCTTGCGCTTACAAGGCAGGTGGGTTGACAGTTATATCCTTAGACATGTACAATACATGTATCTGACCAAAGACTCAAGAGGACTTCTCCAAATACTCCTGCAGCTCTCCTTCTGAGCAGCTATCTCTTTTCTGGTACCCTGTCCTATAATTTCTAGTCACATCAGGTTCACCCAACTGTGATTTCCTACTCTTCAGCAAATGTACTGGGTCTTATTTTATTTCTCCCTCTCTGCACTTCAGAGGTTCTTTCCAGGCAGTGAACTAGTATCACTTCAACGTTACTCTTTTTTTTTCAAGGATTACAGCCCTATACTGGCTTTTTGTTCAGTACCTGGAAACAGTTATAGGTAGATGCAGTATAACCCTTAATTATTTTTAAACATGTAGAATTTTCTTTTTCCCATTTTATACAATCTAGGTCACAATAAGTCATTTTTACCTTTGTAGATTTTTCTAATGGTTGGTCATACTGTGCTTGCTGCATAACGTCACTGACTATCATTTTGGCAATCTTCCAAGCCAGCTCTTCTTGGGCCTAAAGGAAGCAATTCAAATTGTTGATAATGGTTATTCATTAGAAGGCTCAAGATAAATATAATCAGAGTGCTAAACACAAATGTATATACTTATCATTTGGAAAAGAGGTACTTTTCATGTATGAAAGAATCTGGGCCACCCTCTGGCTATGATATATTAACATGCATTTACTGTTTCCCAGGGTTAACGCCTAGGGTCTATTACTAGTAGCAGTAATGACCACTTTCATGTTAGATGGTAAAAAAAAAAAAAAAAAAGACTTTTCTTAAAACAGAGTAAGTAAGGAAACATTTGAGCTTTTATTTCTGCACTGATGACTGATACCTGCTGGTTGATGGAATTTTGAATGCACAGATATGGTTTAGCATCCATAGTCTCCGAAGATACATGTGCTGTCAGCACCAGGCAAACTGTTAGATACTAAGAGCCCTCCCTCCTTTTCTTGCTAAAACCTGGATAAAGAATCACTGATTTCTCTTGATGCTTAAACATAGGAACTAAAGAACAAAGAAAACTTGAAAACTTAGTAGCACTTACAAGCAAAGCTGGCACTTATTAGCAAAAATCTCTTTATACTAAACATAGAATTTACCTCATCAGTATTTCCTTGCACCCACTTCTTCATAGCTTGTGAGAACATAGATCCTAGGAAAAATAGCCAAAATTGAGTGTAATTTTATATACAGTTTTATATTAAAAAATGCACTTAAAAGCTATTACTTTTAGATATGGATATTCTTTTCTACTGTGACCCCATCCAGAACAGGAACAATTGAATATGTGATAGAAATACTTAATATATATATTTAATGCTGGGGAAAAGGTATTCTTTGTTTTTAGCTCAGGGGATCGAACTCGGGTCCTTGTGCTTGCAAGGTGGGTGGCAGAACCACTGAGCTAAATCCCTAGCCCAAAGGTTTTTTTTCTTAAAATAAATACTGTCCACAGTCTTACAATCCTAATAATCTCTAATGAATCAATTATTAGGGTTACTTTTTTTGGTGATGGTGGTACCAGGACTCAAATTCAGGGCCACACACATGCCAGGCAAGGACTCTACCACTGAAATTCATTTTTTTTTTTTTTTGGTTTTTTGAGACAGGGTCTCACTATGTAGTTGAGACTGACCTGAAACTCACTATGTCACTATGTAGCCCAGGATGGTCTCGAACTCACAGCGATCCTCCTGCCTCAGCCTCCTGAGTGCTGGGATTATAGGCGTGTGCCACCACGTCTGGCTCTACAACTGAAATTCTAATGAAATTCTTAAAGATTAATTAATTCGATGAATAAATGTTTACTGAATGCCTACCATGGGCTAGGAATACAGTAATTTTAGAATTGGGCAACAGAGTATTACTTTTCAGAGAAGTAACAGTCCAGTTATAAAAGTGTAATAGAGCTTGGGCACGGTAGCACACACCTCTAATCCAAACACTCAGAAAGCTGAAGCAGGAGGAGCACAGTGAGTTTAAGGGCAGACTTAAACTCAAGGCTACAAAGAAGTTCAAGGCCAGCTTGGGCTAAACTACAAGACTCTGTCTCAAAAAAATAAAAACAAAACTAAAAAGGTATACAAATAAATAAGTAGGGGCCGGGGTGTAGCTCAGTGGTGCTGCGCCTGCCTGGCAAGCACAAGGTCATGAGTTCAATCCTCAGTACTGAAAAATGAAAAGTGAATAATATAATTTCAGAGAGTGAATAAGAAAATAAAGATGTGATATGTCAATGGTACATATGATTTTAGATAACATGGGCTAGGAAGGTGTCTCTGAAGAGGTAATACTGAAATGTGGAGGAGCCAGTCATTGCATGAAAGCCATGGCAGAGGAAAAGCAACTGTAGAAGTCCTAAGAGGGAAGAAACCTCAGAAAAAGAATAAAGGATGATCCAATTAGAGTTTAAACTGTGATGGGCAGAGTATTTCAAGGTAAAGTTACAGAGGGCATTTACAGGTCACAAAAAGAGGATAGATTTTTATTTCAAGTATAACAGGAAGCCATAGGACAAAGGGGTAGGATAGATGATAAAGCAGTAAAGTATGTAAAAGGTAAAATTTAAAAAGTAGAGAAAAGGGCCAGGGACTTAGTGCAGTGTTTCTGCTGCCTGCCTCGCAAGTGCAAGGACCCAAGTTTGATCCCTGGTACCTAAATAAATAAATAAAATAAAGTAAATGAATAAAATAGAATTAAAAATAAAAAGTAGAGAAAAGAGTACAATGGAAAGTAAAAGATACCTACAACCTCTTCTGATTCCTAAAGTAACTGCTGTTACATTTTTTTGCATATCTTTTCGGGTGATTTTTAACGCATATACCAATAGTGAGAGTCTTTCAAAAACATACACAACAGCACTTATGTCTTTTAGTGAAAAATGTGTAACTTAAATCATTAAGACTTTAGGCATAAATTCCAATTTATAAGAATTTCTGGGGAGAGAACAATAAGCTAAATAATGCAATCAGGAAAATCTGTGAGACTGAACAATTCTGCAGGGTAAATAACCTTATGTATTTAACAAGTCAAGGTCAGAGTAAAACAGTTGGAAACTGCTAGGTGTGGTGGCGCACGCCTTTCACCCCAGTACTCAGGAAGTTGAGGCAGGAGGGTCACTATGAGTTTGAGACCAGCCTGGCCTACATAGTGAGTTCCAGGTCAGTCTTAATTACATAGTGAGAACCTGTCTCAAAAAACCAAAAAGAAACAAAAACAGATGGAAACTATATATCCTCTTGTTTATATCTCTGGAATCTAGCACAGTTCCTGGCACACAGAAATCATTTCCATGACATTTGAGCAAAAGAATGCAATCTCTTATGCTTCTATAGTACAAAAAGATACTTGACTTAGAGATTTGCAAAACTAACGGAAGCTCCAAAATAAATGGATGTGTTCAACCAAATGGCAGAAATTCCTATTCATCAGACATTATGTAGTCATGTCTCAAATCAATAATGCAAGTAACTTGATGGATGGGTTTGGCAATATAGATATAATCCTGTTGCCTCTACCTTGAAATATAGTGCATATGTGTTTTTCAACTACCAGCCTAATCTACACCCACAATAATCTATTAAGCTCTGACAAGAATGTTCTGTTTCTCACTCTCTTTTATTTTTTTGGTACCAGGGATCAAACTCAGGCCCTTGAGCTTGCAATGCAAGCGGCAGAATCACTGAGCTAAATCACTGGCTGTTCTGTTTCTCTTAAACTTTTATATTTTATTTCCAAACAGCTACCAGATCAATCCTTTAATGTATAAGTCACATCACATCATTCCCTGCTGTAACGTCCAATGTTTCCCCAATACTTTCCAGTCTTTGCCATGGTTTCTCACTCACCTTCTATCACTCAACCCTTTGCCCACTCCTCTTTAGCCATATTGGTCTTGTCCACTCACCATGCTTTACTCTCCAGCTCAGGGCTCTATTTCTATTCCTTCAGCCAAGAAAAGTATTCTTCCAGATAATGCCTGAGCTTTCTCCTTTGGTATAGTCAGGTCTCTACTCAAAATGCTTCCTTATCAGTGAGGCCTCTCTTGATGGCCACCTTTTAAATACCGTTCCCCACTGCTCTGCCAATTTCCTATTTCACCATTTATATTCATACACAAATACACAAACACACACACACAGCTGTGTTTGGTCACAAAGAATGAACTTGTCATAAAAGATTAGAAGGAGCTGGGGTTATAGCTCAGTCAGTGGTAAAGTTCTAACCTAGCATTTACGAGGCCCAGGTTTGACTCTCAGCACCGCTAACACAGGGAAGTATGGGGACGTGGGAAACACACCAAACCTATGGTGGGGAGATTCAAATCCAACTTGGACTTGACCAAACTGCTTTTGTGTCAATTAAACAAGGATTCAAATTTCAGTATATGTGCTGCCAAAGTGAGCACAAGGATTTGACTTTCAACCTATTAATATTTTCCATGATTTTCATAATAACTTTCAGCAATTTTGGAGAAATTTAATAAAGGATCACACGATAAACCTGAAGTCTAACCTGGACTGGGTATTTAGTCATTATATAAAAAGGTAAAGAGTACTATCTTAGCCTACTGTGCTTCTGTTATGATAAAGCAAGCTCAGAAATTTTCATTCACAGATTTTATGGAGATGAGATTACATGAGGCCCTTGTACTCACTTTTTTGACTATAAACCAAGGTGAAAAATGTCATGGTTATAATCAACTCAAACCTTAAATGGTCTTTCCTTCCAGTCAGTGACTGATGTGAGCCAAGGCTTAATATGAATTATAAAAAACATCACTTTTCAGCCTTTTGGCTAAGATCCAATGAACTATAAAAACACCACAAACCTCTTGATTTCTTTACATCAGGTTCAGGCTCAGATTCTCGAATGAACTGCCCCAAGTCACTGACTCTTCCAAATGTCATCTTCCTAAACAAAGAGAAAAAGAAAGATATTAACTCTTACAATTAAAATCGATTTTTAAGCATCTCATCTAAATCTAGAAAGCTAAAAAATGTATGCCTAATCCATGTTATTCAAAATAGAGTCGTGTGAAATAGAACCTTCCTCTACAGAAAGCAAAATAATCTAAACATATTGAAAACCCTCTTTCATGGTCCTGCTGGGATTTAGGGAGAGCACTGGCAGGGGTAATTAAATCTACACAGATTTACATGATAATCAAGCCATTTACGGTGAAAAAAGAGTAATTTTATGATTTGTCTGTAGTAACTGTCAGCAAGTAATGTGGCCTATGTGTCACTGTCTTTTTGTTCCAGGCTAAAAGGAACAACCAATTTAATTCTGAAATACAAAAGAATAATTTCATTTGTTTCTAAGTATTAGCATATACCCCACATAAAACGTTAGCATCTTTTTTTCCTTTATACTTATTTTATGATCAAGACTTTGAAATAGCTAATATGTAAATTAAATGAAATGTGCAAAACATAGCCTGGAACACACTATACTACGCATACTATACATGACACTCCATCAACTTTGCATACGGTAGTGGAATACCAAGGGTTATAGAGGGTTTACTAGAAATCAGGCCAACAAGGCCAGGGATTTAGCTCAGTGGCGCTGTGACTGCCTCACAAGAGCAAGGTCATGAGTTCAATCCCTGGCACCAAAAAAATAAAAATAAAAAAAAATTCAGGTGCTTTGCAGGTATTATTTAATTCTCTCAACAACCCAATGCAGTAGCAATATTATTCCAATTTCATAGATGGAAAAGCAGATAACAAAAGGTTAAGCAGCTTGTCAATAATTAGCAGAGCTAAACTCAAGAAGTAATTCTCACTTTGATATCATGTAATATGAACAGTATTGTGGAAGTGGTGGGAATATTAAAAACTGAGAAAATATTAGAAATTAAACGTTTAAAAAAGTATGGGCCGGAGATTTAGCTCAGTGGTTCCGCAGCCTTCCTCACAAGTGCAAGGACCCAAATTAGATCCCTGATACAAAAAAAAAAAAAAAAAAAAAAAAAAGTTTAAAAAGCTGCTGAATTCTTTACACTTGTAGACGTTCTAGATATGAGCTAAACTTACCCTGCATATGTCCGTTGATATAAAGATTCTGGATCCAGACTTGCAGCATCCACAATTATCGCTTCATCAAAATTTTTCAAAATTTTAATACTGGCTTTTTTCACACTGGACTATAACAGAAATTATTAAATTAGCAGTACATTACCCAGAAAACAAATCAGTCCTGGGTCTGAAATATGACAGACTTGTACATACTTTTTTCAGAGTTTGGGATATGCATAATTCTCAGGTAAGACCTTCACTACCAAGAAGGTTAACAGCAATAAAATGTTTTCTTTCTTTTTTTATTTTTTGAAATGGGGTCGGGTTGGCCTTGAGTTCATTGTGTAGCCCGGGTTAGCCTCAAACTCACAGAAATCCTCCTGCCTCAGCTTCCCAAGTGCTGGGATTACAGGTATGTGCCCACGATGCCTGGCATGAAATGTACCTTCCAACAACTACAGGAGAAAAGCACAAGAGTAAAATGTGTAACCTATGCATTTATATGACAAAATCTGTTTTTCTGTTTTTCTTTTTTTTTTTTTTGGTACCAGGGACCAAACTTGGGACCTTGTGCATGTGAGGCAGGCAGTGGCACCGCTGAGCTAAATCCCCAGCCCCAAATCTGTTTTCTTAATGAGTAAGTTTTAACAAATGTGCTGTCCTCATAAAGCATCCTTTTTCCTCGCCCAAATTCTCATCCATCTCAGCATATAATATATACCTTGGCTAAAAAAAGTAAAGTGGAATTTTTACATGTTAAACATGAATGTTTGGATTTTCAAGTGAGGCTGTGTCAACAGCTGAACAACTCTTTGTAAAGTGACTTGCTAGCTGAGTAGAGTTAAATTCCCCTCTACTATTCTACCTCCTACTCCCCACCCTACAAAAAAAAAAAATCAAGTAATAATTGGTATTTTTATGAAATACAGAGCTATGGGTTGACCCAAGAATTCCACTTCTAGAAATTCAAGTGCAGACACTCACATTTATATAAAAAATGATGTATATACAACACTATTCACCACACCATTGTTTAAAATAGCAAAAGGGAAGAACAAGCCTAATGCGTGTAACTTAGGGATACAGTAATTAAACAAAATAATTGAACAATTTACAGAACACTTTAGTTAAACTGAAAAGAAAGAAAGCACCAATAGAATAAAAAGGGAGTACATCCCAATTAATTGTAGGAGGCCACTTTTATTCAGGCACCAAAAGTGGACAACAGAAGAAAACAAAGTTAGTATCTCTTAAGTAGTATAAGTATTAGATGATAGGTACAGGCACAGAATCCTCAACGAAACTGACTGTGGCAGCATGACAAAAAGATCACAAACCATGGCCAAGTGGAATCTATCCGCCAGTGCAAAGCTGGTTTAACATCTGAAAAATCAATTAATGTAATACAATGTATCAATGGAGTAAAACCTAAAAAACCTATATGATCACCTCAACTGATACAGAAACAATATTTGATAAAATCCAATACCCTTGTGATTAAAAATTTATAAAAATTAAGACTGGTGGGGTACTTCCTCAACCAGATGAACAGCATTTATAAAAAAATTTTTTAAAACTCTTATCTAAATGTTAAATGATAAAAAAGTGAAAGCTTTCCTTGTGAAATCAGGAATAAGATATAGATGCCTGTCTTTTGCCACTTTTCTGTACTACAGGTTTCTTTGACAGCCCTTAAGCAAGAAAAAGAAATAAAAGGCTTCCTAAATGGATAGGGAAAAAAACCAACTATTTGCAGATAACATTATCTTACATATAGAAAACTGTAAAGAATCCATTAGAAAGGCCAGGCGTGGTGGTGCAACCCTGTAATCCCAGCACTCAGGAGGCTGAGGAAGGAGGATCGCTGTGAGTTAGAGACCAGCCTGGGCTACATAGTGAGTTCCAGGTCAGTCTCAACTACGTAGTGAGACAGGGCAGACAACTACGTAGGTAGACCCTGTTTAAAAAAAAAAAAAAAAAGAAAAGAAAAGAAAAAAGAATCCATTAGAAAACTAACAAATTCTACATTTCTTTTTTTGTTTTGTTTTGTTTTTGTTTGTTTGTTTTGTTTTTTGTTTTTTCAGAAAGGGTCTCATTACGTAGTTGAGACTGACCTGGAACTCACTATGTAGCCCAGGCTGGTCTCAAACTCACAGTGATCCTCCTGCCTCAGCCCCCCTAGTGCTGGGATTACAGGCCTGCGCCACCACACCCAGCTTAAATTCTACATTTCTAACAAATGTAGCAAAGTTGAAAGTACAAAATCAACAAACAAAAATCATTGTATTTATATATATTACTAAGGAGCAATCAAAAAATGAAATTAAGAAAACAATTCCACTGATAATCACATCAAAAGGGAAAATTCAGGGAGCCAGAGATTTAGCTCTGTGATTCTGCCGCCTGCCTCACAAAGTATAAGGTCCTGTGTTCAATCCCCAGTACCAAAAAGGGGGGGGGATTTAGCTGTGCACGGTGGCACACACCTCTAATCCTAGTACTAAGGGAGGCTGAAGCAGGAGGATGAAAAGTTCAAGTTCTACATGAACAAATTAACAAGATATTGTTTCAAAATAAAAATTAAAAGGAGCTGGTAGAAATGTAGCTGAGTGGTACAGTGCTCCTGGGTGTGATCCCCAGCACTTAAGTTTAAGATAGTAAGACAGACAGACAAACAGATAATGTAAAACACTTCCCTTAGCATGCATGAGACCCTGGGTTTAATCCCCAGTACCGCCAAAAAAAAAAAAAAAAAAAAAAAGGAATAAATGATCCAAGGAGATATGAGACTCATATATTGAGAACTATGCTGAAAGAAATTAAAGATGACATAAATAGATGGAAACAGCTTGTGTTCATGGACTAGAAATTATAATACTGTTTAAAAATAGCAGTATCTCCCAGGCAAACTACATAGTCCATAAAATCTTAATCAAAATGGAAAATCTGATCTTAAAGTTTATATGAAATGTAAAAAACAGAATAGATAAAACAATATTGAATATTAAAACACATCAAGTTATTATATATACACACTTTTGTGATTTCAAAACTTGCCTCAAAGATACTGTACTTAAATGTAGTAGAACTGGGTGTTCAGAAATAAACACATAAAAACACACATGGTGAGCTGATTTTTTTTTCCCTCTATATCAGGGATCCTACTCAGGACCTTGTGCTCGCAAGCAGGCAACCCGGGCCACTAAACTATATCCCCTGTCCAGTGAGCTGACTTTTAACAAAGTTGCCAAGACCATTCAATGGTCTAAGCATATTTTTGTTTGTTCATTTGTTTTTTGTTGGTGGTACTAAGGATTGAACCCAGAGCCTCTGCAGTGAACTACATACCCAGCCCTATTTTTTATTTTCAAAAAATTTTTTAAAGACAATGTCTTGTTAACTCACCCATGCTAGGGTTGAACTTGCCTCCTGCCTCAGCCACCTAGAAACTTGGGATTGATTACAGGTATACACCACCATGCTCAACTGTCAGAATAGATTTTTAAATAAATATTGCTAGGACTTCCATATGTAAAGAATGAAGCTGGACTTCAACCTTATTCCATATACAAAACTAACTCAAAATGAATCAAAGACCTAAAACTCTTAGAAGAAAACATAGGAATTTGTGGATCTTCATTATATTAGGGGTTTTTTTGGTACCAGGGATTCAACTCACATTTGAGGCAGGTGGCAGCACCACTGAGCTAAATCCCTGGCTCCCATTACATTAGATTTCACAACGGTTCTTAAGACATAATACCAAAAGCACATGAAACAAAATAAAGTACCATACATAAACTGGACTTCTTCAAAAATTTAGTTTTTAGCTTCGAAAAACAAAAGAAAGTGAAAAGATAACCTACAGAACTGGAAAAAATACTTGTAAATCATACTTGCTAGGAGATTTATATTGAGGATATATAACAAATTCCTGCAACCTGTAATGAAAAGATAACCCAATTTAAAAATAGGCAAAAGGTTAAATATTTTCTCCAAAGACAGAAAAAAGTCAACATTGTCATCAGAGAAATAAAAATAAAAACCACAATGAGCTACAACTTTATACCCACAGATATGACTATGAACAAAAAGACAAATACAAAAAGTTTCAGAGATATGCATAAATGGGGAACCTTGTACAATGCTGATGGGATTGCAAAATGGTGCAGCCCCTTTGGAAAATAGTCTAGTAATTACTGAAAAAATACCACATAGTATGTTTCCATTTATATGACTTATTCAAAATAGGCAAATCTATATCTTTATAGAGATAGAGACAAAAAGCAGATGAATGGTTGCCTACAACTGGAGAAATAGGCGATTTGGAATTTAATAGTTTCTTTGGAGGATAAGAAAAATGTTCTAAAATTTGATTGTGGAGATGAATGCACAATTCTGGGGTATATTAAAAACCACTGAGCCAGGGATTTAGCTCAGCAATTCAGTGCCTGCCTGGCACGTGTAAGGTCCTGAGTTCAATCTGCAAAACCAAAAAACAAAAACAAAAACAAAAAACAGTTAAAAACTATTGAGTTATATAATGCCAATGTGAATTATCACACTAAAGTTATACGATAAAAAAAGAATACATAATTTCACTGATAAAATGACAAGAACAATTAATGCTAATCATAGCTCTCAAGTAATGATATGACTGGAAGGAGGCTCACCAGGGCTTCGTGCTGACAATGTTCTGTTTCTTGATTTAGGTGCATGGATATTTTCTTGATTTTACATGGACGTTTGTGAAAATCCTTTAATATATATAATCATGCTATATGTGACTTTTAACATATGTTATGCTTCAATGAAATAAATGTTATGGGGCTTGCATGTATAGCTTAATAGTAAAGCATATGCTTAGCATGTGCAAAGCCCTGGGTTCAATTTCCAGCACCAAAAATTACATACATACATACATACATACATTTATTCTATGGTTAGCTCCGAGACCTTTCAAATGCCCACATAAAAATAAGCCATTCGTAACCATACTCAGCGGGTCATGAGTAAACGTAACAGCAGGAAAATATACTGAGGAGAGCCTTGTGGACAGGAATAAAGTAAGTGTCTTATAAATTAAGAAATCTTGGGAGGCTGAGGCAAGTTTGAGCCCAGTCTGGGCAATTAGCAATTATCAAGAACTTGTCTCAAAATAAACAATTTCAAAAGGTTGGGGATGCAGCTCAGTGATAAAGCCTTGGATTCAATCCTCAGTACAAGATAAAAGAAAGAAGGGAAAGAGAAGTAGAAAAAGAAAAGGAATGAGGGATGGGAAGAGAAAAGAAGGTAGGGTAAGGCAGGGAAGAAAGGGGAGGGTAAGAGAAGGGAGGAAGAAAGAAGGAAAAGAGGAAAAGGGGCAAGAAAGGAAAAAGGAAGTGATAAGGAAAAGGAAGAATAAATTTAATTAAAGGCCCAATATCAAAACTTCAAAATGTTAAAAAAAAAACTCCAAAGTATTATGTCAATAGTGACAAGAAAATTAATAAGCCATCTTATTAAGCTTATGATGAAGAACACTAGACAGGGAATATTTCCAGCTCTACCACTTTCTATATAACTTTCCTTTTTTTTTCATGATGCTAAGGATTGAATCCAGAGCCTCACATGTGGCTCTATACTTCTCATTCCCCATATCAGTTAACTAACTACTCTATACTTCTCAATCTCCAAATCAGTTAATTCCTTAATGCCTCCTTCACATTTCCTGTCTTGAGAATATACCACTTCATGTGATTTGGGGGGAATCAGGTAAGGTTTGATATATGGTAATAATTTTTAAAAAATTAAGGAAGTGTACAATTTAGTCTTCTAGTTTAAATTAAACGTAAAAGTTGTCGAGTGAAATACAATATTAAGAAACCTATGATCTGATTCTTAGTGGGTGACACATATCTGAAATCCCAGCTACTTGGCAAGCTAAGAGAGGAGGATCTTGAGTTTGAGGTCAGCCTGGGCAATTTAGCAGGATCACCATGAGTTCAAGGCCAGCCTGGCTTACTTAAGACTGACTCAAAAAACCAAAATCAAAGGGAAAAAAAAATCTCAAATAATTAGAGTTCTTCAGAAATAAATAATTGTAGGGGCCGGGGATTTGGCTCAAGTGGTTCTGCCGCCTGCCTTGCAAGCACGAGGGCCAGAGTTCAATCCCTGGTACAAAAAAAAATAAAAGAAATTATAAATCTTTTTCATATCTGACCATTAGAAACAGCCACAGCAAGGATCAGGGATTTAGCTCAGTGGCACCACACCTATCTTGTCCAGAGTTTGATCCCCAGTAACAAAAAAAAAAAAAAAAAAAAAAAAAAAAAAATTCAAAAAAGAACCAGTGTCACAGAGAAACGGGCTAACTGAATAAAACAGCCTATTTTACGAGACAGTACAATGGTTATCCACCAAAAATAAATAGTAAGTAGTGTAATTTTATTTCTCTTTTGTGACTAGAATATAAAATACAAAAATCAGATTACTGGTATTTCTAGGAAAGGATTTGTATGCTTTTCTTTATAATGGTAGATTGCAAATCAGAAAGTACCTGAGAAGTGGCACTGTCAGAACCACCAGGGTGAGATTCATCAGGCAGGCCAACAGAGCCATGAGCAGTCAGCGAAACACTCCCTCCCAGAAATTCATCTCCTCGAACAGAATGAATGAGATCATTCAAATACTTATAATAAAGGTTACTGGACAAAAAGCCAGGCAGAAAGACCTGAAAGAGAGAAAGCATTATTTTAAAGTTAAAAAATCCAATGCATTTAAATTTGTTTTTTAAATAAACAAATTTTACCTATAACTTTACCAGTTAATACAAATGTTTGTACTTCTCTTCACTATCCTCTCAGTTATTATTCCTTTATATACATTTTTATACTAACTGAAATTACAAAACACACGATGTTGCTGAATTTCCTCCCAATATACAATGGTCATAGAAATTATAGAGACATGATATTACTTCTTGTGAGCAAAACATTCCACAGAGTAGATATAATGTGAAACTAGATTTTTCTGGTATGTTACAAATAGTAAAATCTTTGTGCATATATTAATTTTTGCTTCTGAACTGATTTCCTTAAGATAAATTAATAGGAGTGTGATTACTGCATTAATTAATACACACAGCCAATTTAGCCTTCAAAAGGATGGTATCACTTTGTTTCACTAACAATACTGTACATATCAAAGTATTTGTTTCCACACAAGCTTTCCAAAACTGGGTTATTTTTCCTCAAATCATTGCTAAACTGATGTCAAACAGTACCTAAATAACTTTATTTGCATTTAATAATTTTTAATAACATTGAACAAGTTCCCATGTTTATTATTTTATTATTTGTTCTGCCAGTTCTAGGAACTGAACTCAGGGCTTTCACGCATGTTATATCCCAGCCCTTTTTAAAATTTTTTATTTTTGAGTCAGGGTCTAAGTCGCTTAAGGACTCAAACTTGGGATCCTTGCCTCAGCCTTCCAAAGTACTGCGATCACAGGCATGCACCACCATGGCCAGCTTATTTGCATTGCTTATTACAAAGCTTTCTTTCACAGCACTAAGCACACTGTACATATTTATGTCTGTACTCAATATAGTAAGAATAAGCTCCAGGATGGAAGAATCACATTTCTGTTTACCATTATAACAAGAATAATTCTGCCAGGTGTGGTGGTACATGCCTGTAATCCCAGCACTCAGGAGGCTGAAGCAGGAGGATTGCTGTGAGTTCGAGACCAGCCTGGGCTACAAAGTGAGTTCCAGGTCAGTCTCAAGTACATAGTGAGACCCTGTCTCAAAAAACAAACAAACAAACAAATAATTAGCACAGAAATACTCAAAAGTGTTTACTACACAAATCATTCATGTCTTCACATCCATTTCTCATATATCTTACAGGATCCTGCTAGTGGTCCTAAAAATTAGTGCAAGTTCCTTACCTACAAACATTTACTAAGAACTCTTTTTATATTTCATTTTTTTCTGTATGTCAATTTTATTATCTAGAAAGTATAAATTCTTTATATGTTAGATATCTGGACTTTTTCTTTAAAACAAAAAATATTTTATTTTATATATTTATTTTGAGACAGTGTCTCACTTATGTCATTTAGACTGGTCTCTAACTTGCAATCTTCTTGCCTCAGTCTCCCTGGATACCTGTAAACAGGCCTAAGCAACCATATCTAGCAGAAAAATTTTAATCCTATAAAAGATCATTATTCCTGGGTAATTGCTAATATTCTTTATGTGACCTCAGTTAGTGATTGGGTTTATAAGAATACTTTAAAAAAGAAAGAATACTTTTTAAATTTAGTATTTGTGTAAGGTGTTAAGTAAAAGCTCTTAACATCTTTCCACCTGGATCCAAATGACAGGTATTAGCAACCTAACATCATAGGCTTATCCTAGGCTCTGTGCAATTCCTGGCAAAATATGCTTTAGTTCATCAAAAGAACAAATCATGCACAAATTTTAACCTAATTATTATTAATAAGGTATTAGTGATACCTTTATTAGTAAGTTATTAATGATACTTTTTAAGTGATCACGAAACATAAAACTAGTGCTTCAACCCTGCGGGTCTTTCTTTAGATAACTTTGCCCGATACTACAATTTAACTATCTGAAAAGATATAACAACAACAGTAGTACAGTAGTTAACATTTTAATGCTTACCATGTGTTGGGCTCTGTGTTAGTAAGCATTTTATCTTTTTCTTTTTTTTTCAGGTGCCAGGAATTGAACTCAGGACCTTGTGCTTGCAAGGCAGGCATGGCACCATTGAACTAATCCCCACAGTAAACATTTTATATACATTACCTCCTTTTGATCTTCAAACTAACTTTGATATCACTCCTACTTAACAAATAAGGAAAATGGCATTAAAGAAACTGCCTGTCACTCAGCCTATAAAGGTGAAATTAATACATACCAAGCCAGACTCAAAGCCTCTGCTCTTAATCACTATGCTGCACTGCTTCAATTTTCCACTGTTGTGTTATGTTTTGGTTATATTGTCTGGGCTTCACCAGTAAAACTTCTTGTAGTTTAAAACTTTTGAAGATCTTGGTTACCTTCTCCATAGTTGTCCAGGCCTGACGTAATGGAGTTGTAAAACAGTTAGGGAGTGGCCCACCTTCCCTGCAAATATTAGATTCAATTTCTAACCGTACAACATCATCAAATCCAAGAGGATGTGTGGCTTGGAGGGAGAAGTATCTATGGAAGAAAAAGATCCAAAGTAAATCCAAATTTCATAGCAAGTATATAAGATTTTTGGCACCTATACTAAGAGAATATTATATGCAACTATATAGTTGAGTCAGCTGCAGACCACAGAACCACAGAGCTGTTATAACCTTTACTTACTTCTTCTCAAAGATATCTGGGTCAATTTGCTATCTTTCTTTGTGCCTTTCAACCATCCTTAGGTTCCTCCTCTGCCTACTCTTCTGATACTTAAGAGTGGAGATTCAGGATACAAGCAAGGCAAAGAAATCAATCACATACACTTAATAGGCACCCATTCTATGTTCAAGATTTAGCAGACAGAAATGAATTCATAATAAAGTAAGACATGGGTATGTCCTCTGAAGAGACAGCATAAACCATTTGTTCATAGTATACAATGAAAACATACCATCATAATCATGAGGCACAAGCAATAAATATTCAGAAATTCAAAACAAAATGACACCAACAGCAAAGAGGACAGACCTATTTGCAGAGAACTACTAGAAATAACCGATGACCTAGTGTGGAAAAGGAATAATTAATGCTAGCTCAACGATTTCTAACTTGATAAGACCTAAAACAATGCTTTGGTTAGCTGATTATGAAGTGGATAAACAAAAAACATAAAAGAAACAAAGAGTTCCCTTAAAAGCACTAGCAGCTTCTCTCATGTATGAAAGAAGAATAAATAGGTTAATGATACATGATTGTGATGATGCATGTGTAACAACAAACAAGTATAGAGAGTTATAAAGACACAGTTATAAAGCAGACACAATGAATTTGGCAAAATGAAAGCGCTAGTGGAATGTCATACATTATCTTCAATTCAAAACATCTCCTAGGCTGGGGATTTAGCTCAGTAGTTCTGCTGCCTGTTTTGCAAGTTCAAGGTCCCAAGTTTGATCCTCAGTACCCCCCCAAAAAATACACACACACAAAACAGCCCCCAAGGTGAAAAATGTGATCTAGTGAGTAACAGAGTCTCTCTGCTCAGTGTAGTTATTGAGGACAACCCAGGAACTTACTAGTGTTACTGCCACTGTTCCAGCATACAGAAAATTCTTTTCTAGTTAGCATTTTCATAGCAAAGTTAAGTTTCCTGTGTTGTAATGAATAAGCTGTTAAATACTCCTCCATGATAAGCATTTTCAGGCACCCCATTATTTCTAATTGTAAAATCTTGTTATTTCATTAGCCATTTAACAAAATTTCTTATATGGTATCTTCTACAGATGTATTACACTAGAATAAACAAGAGAATATTAAGAATTGCACGCCAATCCAAGTTCTGTCACTTACTTACTTGTCCTATGACTTTGAGAAAATTGTAATCGCTTTAATGCTTTGGTTTCCTTATTTGCAAAATGGGAAAATCAGACTGAATCCCTAAATTGCCTATTCAGAATTACACGGAATACTGTCTAAAAATAAAGATTCCTAAGGCATACTTCAAACCTGCTGAAGCAGAATCTCTTAGAAAGGAGGACTGGAAGCCTGTTAAGATGCTCCCAAGTGACTGGTACAGATAGCCCCGTGTAAGCCTGCATACCAATGCTTAGGAATCACTAGCTTAGATGTTCTTGGCTCTCTTCCAACCTTAACTTCCCTAAAGTTCTCTGTATTCTCAAATTACTTACTTAGTGCTTACTTGTAGATACTAATAAAAAATTACTTTTACAAAGAAAATTTAAACAAAAGGAACACTACCACCACAGATTATGAAGTACCACCAGTCTTTTCACTACCACCAGAGTTTTATCACTTGCTGTAGCAGATGTTTCCAATTCTGTTCACCTTCAAGATTATTCAATCTCTCACTTTCAGTGAAAACTAATGAGAAACTGATTATGGCTATAGCTCAGGGAGTAGAGTACATGTTTAGTATTAGTGAGACCTTGTCTTCAAGTCCCAACACCAAAAAAAAGTATTCATTTAGTAATGTGGCTGAACTGATATGTACCAGAAAGTATGATATATCCAAATAAAAATATTCAAGGCCCTTTGCAATCTATTTCAATCAATCAGGTTCCTCTTATATTCTTCATCCTTTAGATTATCCAAACTCAAGTTTCATTTTGCTTTTCTTTTCTTTTCTTTTCTCTTGATTAAAATCCAGGGTCTTCCTTGGGTATATTAAACAAAGGCTGTATCACTGATTATACTCTGCCCTCAAACTCAAGTTTCTTTTCTTTTCTTTTCTTTTTTTTGGTACCAGGGACTGAACTCGGGACCTTGTGCTTGGGAGGCAGATGGCGGAACCACTGAGCTAAATCCCCAGCCTAAACTCAAGTTTCTTGAAAGTGTCACCTCCCTCAAGTTTCTATGACTATAGTTGTACGAAATGTTCTTTGCCTAGAATCTTCTTTCCTGCCTTCTGTGGCTGGACAATTCAATTCATTCTTCAGGATCCAAATCAAATCTTTCTTCTGTGAAACCTCCCTCCACATCACACTGTTATCCTGCTTTCCAGACATAAACCTCCTCCCCCACAAAAAACACTTTTTAAGACCCCAAAGTTTTACACACACACACTAAAATCAGCTTTTATGTTCCCTCATCTGAACTTCTTTAGAGCAAAGACTGAAATTACTCATCTTTTTTTCCACACACAACAGTTAATGCCAAATAAATACCTGCTGAAGGAATTTATTAATAAAACTCACTTGTCATATAAAATCATGGCATCATTCTGTGCCTCCTGTCCATCATACTGGCCCTTTTTGGCAGCAAGCTGAGACTGAAAGTTATCTGCTGCCAACCAGAATTGCAAAATATTCACTGCATCTTCTTTTTCCATGTACTAGGAAGGAAAAATACAAAAGGGAAAAATAAGACTAGAAACAGATTACTCTCAACAGCTCTAATCTGTAAGTTCAAAGTATTAAAATACAGGATAAAGGAAGAAGTAAAAAAGATCCACTTCTTCACCTACACCAGCCAGCAACATATAATCATTTGAAATACAAGTTTTAAAATATTCTTTTAGAAGAGAAAAAATACAGTCTAAAATGAACAAAATAAAACCATCACAGAGCTGGTTGTAAACTTTAGTGAACTGAAACAAAAATTATACTAAATTAGATTAGTGGTTCCTTGCTGGCAAACATATAAAGAATAAGTGAATCAAGGGCTGGGGATTTAGCTCAGTGGTTCTGCTGCCTGTCTCACAAGTGCAAGGTCCCAAGTTTGATCCCCACTACCAAAACAAAAAAACCAAAAACAAAGAATAAGCAAATCAAACCAAATCTTTTTATCTGATCATTTCTATCATTCCATGAGAACATATTAACCTGAACAAATCCTGACTTAAAATTGGTAAAGAAAGGGAGTGATGCCACGTGTGCTGGCGCATACCCTGTAATCCCAGCACTCAGGAGGCTGAGGCAGGAGGATCGCTCTGAGTTTGAGACCAGCCTGGGCTACACAGTGAGTCCAGGACAGTCTCAACTACTTAGTGAGACCCTGTCTCAAAAAACCAAAAAAAAAAAAAAAAAAAAAAAGAGGGCGTGAAAATCAACTGAATAACTGTATTCTTGCAAAGAGGCAGAACGGAAGTATATAAAGTTACTGCTTTGTGAGATTGGGAATCCTCTCATATTTAATCTTTTGTAACAAAAGAATTTCATCAGCTGAAGCCTAACAGATACCATATGCTTCAAAGAGATTAATATACTTGTTTGTCACAAGTGCTTCACTGGGTAATCCTATCAATTTAGGATTGATAGTAAAAAAATTTACTATCTTTCTCTCTGCAGAAATCTGGTCTGCACTTATTTATGCACAGGAATTAAGTATCAAATTCTATGGTTCGAAAATAGTTGCCAATAATTAAAAACTTGCATTCTCTTATAAGTAGCAGCTTAATCAGGCTATTCAAAAGAAAAAGTTATTGTACACTGAATTTTCATGTTCTCTTTAATTTGATAAATATGCCATCAAAGTACTCTTGCCACTGAAAACAACTTAATACAATAATAAATCATTTTAGAAATGATTCATCTCTTCTATTTCTTTTTTCTTTCCTTCTTTTTTTTTTTTTTGGTTCTGGGGATGGAACTCAGGTCCTGTACTTGTGAGGCAGTCGCCAGAACCACTGAGCCAAATCCCCAGCCCTATGTCTTAAATTTTATACACAGGGTCCCAGCATTTATAGTTCAAAAGCTGGGAAGCTCTAGTAAACAACAGTATAAAAGGAAATGGAGAATTTACCTCAGAGAAATAAAAGAGAGCTGACTCACAGAAGAGAATGTCAGCCAGGTAGACAGTTCCACTGGTCAGCACTTCAATTTGGTATTTACAGAAATGGTGACTTCGCAGAAACTCACTAAAGTGCCTACATGTAGAAAAAGGGAAATTTTGAGGGAATGACAAAAGAAAGAGTTTAATGGGGAAAAACAGAGTCTTTCCATACTGTCTCAACTGTATCTTAAAGGTTTAGGTCAAGGTTTCCTCGCTTCCCATACTACTGACCCTGATTCCTTCAGCTAAGTAATCTCTCCCACTTCTTATCCTCTGATATTTAACACATCCTACCCTTATGGTAATGTAACCAAAAATATGCCCTTTTTTTAACACTATAACTTCCTTCAAGGAAGGGACTAAACTGTGCCCTGCATAAACATTTAATAAATACTCAAAGAATGAAAACATATATACATGTTTAAGGGCTTATAGCAGTGACTAAAAAACTTGGAGGTAGTTTCAACAAATCTTTGTGGATTTAGTTATATAGCATACATTGAACTAAAAGCAAAAAAGAACAAATTAGGATAACCATTGAAGACAAGCATTTTTTAAAATAAATATTTTATTTTATCCCATTCACCCCCCCAAGCCCCTTCCCCTCCCTATGTATAAAAGCTGTTTCCAAGACATGCAATTTTTAAATAAAGCATTTCTAACAGTATATAATTGGGTCTCAATTACATATAAATGACTTTAGAACTAAAATTTTTCAAATTTAGGGGTTAACATTAAAAATGAAAAATTACAAATGCAAGGTCCTGAGTTCAAGCTCCAGTACCAAAAGAGAAAGAATGAGAGAGAGGGAGAAAACTAGTTTATTTTCAAGAGTTCATACAATTTATATTTTTTAAAAAATTATTAACCAAGAGTCTTAAAATATGCTTATATGATATTGTAAATATACAAACTGTTCCTCAAACATACTTTGTTTTTTTTGCTGTTGTTGAGTGGAGTTCATTCCTAACACCAAACCCAAATTTCCAAGAAGCAAAATGTGAAAATATCAAACTAACTTACTCTTGCTCCATTGCATTAAAGACTATGGCCTGCGCCAAAACAAAACAATTGGGATCCACTTGTCCATCTTCTCCACAGATCTTTGCTGTAAAAGACACAGTAAATACTTAAGTTTCTACCAAATCCAAACTACTCATTTGTGACTCCAACTGGGAAAAAATAGAAGGATATATAAATGAGAAGGATTTAAGCTGAATTAAAAGAAAATTCAGATACTAGCTCAAGGTAGAAAATGTGTTTTGAGATATATATATGCAAAAGTAGTAATTCAAAGATGTAACAAAGTAAAATTAATTTCATTAAAATACCCCAAAAACAAAATTTAAAAATCAAACAAAAAATTGTAGCGAATAGATAGTTTAAAAGATTTATCAAAAACTCTTACAAACTATTAAGAAATATCCCACAAGAAAAACGGGCAAAGAACATGACAGATAACTCACAAAAGAACAAACAATACAAACACTGACAAGGTCATAGTAATCAAATAAGTTACAATTAGAACAAATAAGGAAGCACTATAGTCTTTGTATAGTAAACTGGCACTAAACTGTCTTACCAATATATATGAGTGATTGTTTAACAATACATATGCTTGAGTAAGTGTACAGGAAAACTGCCACTAATGTTACCTGGGAATATACACTGGCACCTTCTATAGGGCAATTTGGCAGTTTCTAACAAGTTTTAAAAATGAACACAATCTTCCAATCAGTAATTCTATTTCAAGGATTGTGATCTAAAGAAATATTAAAGTATGAAAACATTTGTTGGTTAAAACAATGTTTATTACAATGTCATTGGTTGGGCTGGGGATGTAGCTCAGAGGTAAAGTTAGGTGTTCGGTTTGAACACCAGATTCAATCCCCAGCACCACACACACACACACAAATTAATTAATGGGAAACTTACGTTGGTTGTTTCCTTTGCTGTGCAGAAGCTTTCTAATTTGATATGATCCTATTTGTTGATTCTTAATTTTTTGTGTGCACAATTAAGAGTTCTGTTCAGAAAGTCCTTGCCTATGCCTATGCCTTTAAGAGTTTTGCCTATTTTTATCTTCAAGCAGACTAAGCATTTCTGTTTTAATATTTATGTTAGTTGCTTTCCCACTGCTGCTAAGACAAAATACTCAACACCCAAATTTAACAGGGGAAGGGGTTTATTTAGCTCACAGTTCATAGAGGTTTTAGTCCCTAATCAGCTTGCTCCAAAGCAGGGTGGCAGAGGAGCAACAGTTCATGGCAGCAGAAGCAAAAGCAAGAAAAGACCTTAACAGTGTCTTTCTGTTCCTTTTATCTTATTCAGACTACCAGGTTTAGGGTGGTGTCAAACCTCTCCCTCACATGTAGTGGTTCAGGAATTACATGCCCTTAATCCTAGTATCACACACTCTAGATTCACCCACCTATGAAGGAATGGTTTTGGAAGAGCATCTAGACCCAAACCATTACAATTCAGATCATCGATCCATTCTGATTTCAGTTTAGTACATGTTAAGATATGGGTCCAGAGTCAACCTTTTGCATGTGGATAGGCAACTTTTGCCTTAGAAAAAAAAAAGTAACATGGTCAAGGCCGTGACCCCATCCCAACAGCTGACACTGATGGAGCTGAGAGGCTGTAGGCATGGTTCCAAAATAATGCCTGAAAAGACTTAACTGACCTTGATAGATTACAAGAGGTTCTTGTTGAATGACACAGGTCTCAACTTAACTAGGTCTTAAACACGCAATAGAAAAGAAGAACCAAAAGAGTTATAAAATAATGCCATAGTAATAAAGCTAGATATAAAAAGGGGCTCCAGTCACTGACCCCTTTTGGCAGTCTCCAGCTCTACCAGTAGCTGACCATGGTTATGGAGCATTAAGAAAAAACTACAGTAAAATCTATAAGAGCTCAGCTAGAGTTTTATATTTTTTAGCGAAATGTGTTCTTCAAATTGTCTCTTATCTTACAGCTAAAACTAGAGAGACTTCTAAGACCAGCAGGTTCAATCACTATTTCAATTTCTAAGTGTGACTTTCTCGCCAAACTGCCCTTTCATTCTAGTGTGCTCATGCTTAGATTATGCATACTCTAATTTCTTAAAAGTTTTGTTTATTCTTGCCTAGAGGCTGCCAAACTCCCAAGTGGTCATACAAATGGAACCAATGACAAATGCCCTAGGACCCACCATATCAACCTTGTAAACAGCTCATAAATGCTAAAAAATATGACTTCTATTTTGTATTCTCAAGTCCCCTGGTCCTTGTCCTTATCCTCTTTGTGGGCTATATTCGTAGCAATCCTGCTGACCTTATAATCTGACCCATGCATTCCTAACGATTTCTTTGGCTTTGTCTCCTCCAGACTTAAAAGCTATGCAAGCTACCAAGATGACAATGCCTGGCACCAATCGAAGGTCTTTAGATAGACCCTCTGTAGAGTAACTCGAACTGATCACAGCTACAACCCTCTTCAGCTGGAAGGAGCCAGAGCTGTCTTTGCCCTTGCTCCCTCACAGCAGTTAGGGGTACTTCTTCAGAGGGAGAAACATTATGGATAGATAAGTTAATTAGATATCTTGTAGGCAGTTAGCCAGGGCCACCCTCAAGGAGCCAATATGGAGGACAATCAAGACACATTCACTGAAGACCAGAATTGCAAAAGGAGAGAAACTACTATACCCTTGAGCTTCTCCTGGGGATAAACAGCAGTGATCAATATTCTAAACAGGTATCAATAACCTGGGTGGGGAGCCAAGGTCTTAATCCAGCCTTTTCAGGAAATATACCTGACCCTCATCCTTACTGAAAATCCTTGTATGCTTGCTACATGACTTGCTACCCCATTTTACCCCCATTTAACCAATATTACCTGGGTGACTGTACTTGTAATCTTATTGGTTGGTCATGATTTTGCCCACCTCATGCCCACCGTAATTCTCCACTGGGTCTTATAGTTTTGTCCCACTTTGTACCTGACTCACCACATGGCTTTGCTGGATAAAACATCTTTGAAAAGTGGGGTGAGCAGGCAGCCCACTTTCTGGTTCCACTTCTGTCTCTCTTAGACGGAAGTTTTCTTTCCCTCAATAAAATTTTCTTCTTAAAAAAAAAAACAAACTATCATTTCAAAGATTTGTGGAAGAGGTAAGAGGTAATGGAAGCATAGTTTCTGGATCATTCCAAGTCCCAACATGAAAATAGAATAATTAGCAACACCAAAATCCCATGTATAACATTTATAACAAAACTACTCAGACTGATACATGATAAGTGCCAAAATAGATCTTTAGAGTAAGTCATTTGAAGCAGTTTTATTAAAATGTAAGTGGGGGCAAATAATCAGGACAAAATTCTGAAGAATGAGGCTCAAAAAAAAAAAAAATGACTTTTCTAAGCCATCTAGTTAATTAATATCCTAAAACACATAATAAACACTGGGATGGAATTTTTTCAGATCCCTGATCACTGTTACTAACCTGATTCTTCAGATTTCTTTCCCTCCTGGGATTACATAACTAATTTAAATTTTAGTGACATTTCATTTTGAAAAGTTTTGTTTGGCTCAATATTTCTTCAGCCTTTTCTTCTCTACCATAGACAGTTCAGTTATCAGTATTCCCAAAGGAATCATTAATTATTCAACTAGTCAAATTCTAAGCAGTTACAAGACTCCAATTGTACTACTAGGAAAAGACAGCCTTGGGAATTCTGGAAGATGGTAGCAACTAATTCACACCTAAAAACAGAGCAACTACAGCCAGGGATTTAGCTCAGTGGTGCTGCTGCCTGCCTCACAAGCACAAGGACCTGAGTTCGATCCCCAGTACCAAAAACAAACAAATACAGAGCAACTACATAAAAAAGCCAAAACCCCTTGACAACATCTGTCAACAAAACTTGGTGAAATAGTATCACCCAAACCTTAAAATACAAACAGATGGAGAAAATACACCAACAGCCACAAGACCTATAGTTGTCTGTGTGGAAGAAAGGAAAACAAAGGCATCATCTGATGGACCCTAAAATAGCCAACAGGTGTTCACAGGAAAGTATGGTGAGCTAATTTAAGAACCAGAGTGGAGCCTTAAAAGGACCATGCTTTCTCCATAATGAGTGCAATGTTCTCATGGTCAGGAAGGAAGAAGCTTTGCCCAAGAAGAATCTGTTAGGAGTAGAATAACATGTTTTATTTCGTAAATTACAACTACTAAACTTTAGATGAATAGAAATTAAAATCTTAGCAATAGAACTTGGGGGAATGTAAGTATATGTTGAATGAACAAATAAATCACGTTTATTTGTGAATAATAGGCCCTGATGAAACACAAAACTTTCACGTTATTTTTTCACTGTGATCAATATACAAAATGAAAATACTACCACTATAACACAGTAGTTAAAGTGTGGATGTCTAGTCTCAAAGCTTGACTCTGCCATGTCCGAGATGTTACTGTGGAAAACATTCTTACTTTCTCACTATTTCAGTTTCCTCATTTATAAAAGAGTACTCCATTTATCCCACAGTTTTGTTAGATGTTTAAATAAGTTTATCCATGAAGAATACTCAGACTATCTTCTGGGACATGGTATATGCTCAGTAAATATGTACTATTATTGTTTCTGCTGTTGCTATTATTCTAGTGAAAGTCTAAATATTTGGGTTCACATGTAAGAGACAAAGTCTTTAAGTAAACTTCAATCAGGGCTGGGAGTTTAGCTCAGTGGTTCCGCTGCCTGCCTTGCAAGTACAAGGACCCGAGTTAGATCCCCAGTACCAAAAAAAAACCAAAAACAACAACAACAAAACTGCAATCAGATACAGTACAAGAAAGTACTCTGAAAACAGAGTAGGAAGATGAGTTATATTCCATGTTCATAAAAAATTATCTTCGTCAATAACCAAAAAATAATTAGATTTTTGGTGATAGCTTCAAGCACTGCTTACCTATGATGTCATTTCTCATTGCTTCTGTAATTGGTATGGGCTTAGCAGCATCTGGAGATATATATTTGGTAAAAGTATTCACTGCATCTTGTTCTATACCTGCAAGGGAAAAAGGGGGCAACTTCAGAATGAAAAAGCAATGAGGACACAGGAAGATAACATTCATGAAGAGCATGGCGGGGTGTGTGTGTGTGTGTGTGTGTGTGTGTGTGTGTGTGCACCCTCATTTTAATAAGCTTCTATCATAAAGTTGTTTTGATTGATTTGTGGAAGAAAAGTTATACGTGAATTTTCCTTCAGTCTGCCATTGCTATTCTCTTGCTTGGTGGCTACTTTGTAAAAGAGGTAAGGCAAGGATAGGCCAATTGGGGCTGTCATTTTTGACCTCTAGTTTTCAAGGCTGATTACTTTCCAGCTAGGTCTTATTTTCAGGGAAAGAGGATGACATGTGAGGCCCTGGGTATAATCCACAGAACTACAAAATAAATAATCTTCAACAGCTTCTGTTTATGTATGTTTGGGGCTGGGGATTTAGCTCAGTGGTTCCACCACCTGCCTTGCAAGCACAAGAACCTGAGTTCAATCCCCAGTACCAAAAAAAAAAAAAAAAAGAGTCATGTTTATGTATGTTCATCTGTAGATATGAAGGTACTAAGAGAATAAAATGAGACAAATTACTTAACTAGTTAACACTACTGAATTTTTAGGTGTTCAACAAAAAATTTTAATTAGTGGAAAGAGGACACTGTTTTACATTTTTACAACTTCTTCATGTTTGTTTTGACTATGAACTGTTGGAGTCCCTATCTGTTTTGGCATTAACTTGTGCTAAGTTATTCTAGATGAAATATATAATAAGAAAAATTGGCTTCATAGACATGTAGTTGGAAAATTCAGAATTTGAATAGCTTTGCAAGATAACTGTTGATTGGGCCGGGGATTTAGTTCAGTGGTTCAGTGGCCTGCCTTGCAAGCGCAAGGACCTGAGTTCAATCCCTGGTACCCCCCCAAAAAAATCCCCAAGATAATCGTTGATCTATTTTTGATACTTCACCAAAAATTAACAAGAGATAGTTTCTTAAACATTAGAATGTAGCACCTGAGGACCAAGAATTTAGCTCAGTGCCTACCTTGCAATTGCAAGCACAAAGTCCTAAATTCAATCCCCAGTACCAAAAAAAAAAAAAAAAAAGTAGCACCTGAAACTTTTGTCAATGGATTTTTTTCATATTATGTTACATTAAAACCTATTGGCCTAGCCGGGCATGGTGGCACATGCTTTTAATCTCAGCACTGCAAAGGCTGAGACAGCAGGATTGCTTTGAGTTCTAGGCCAGCCTGGGCCATATAGTGAGCTAAGGTAAGCATGAACTACATAACCAGACTGTCTCAAAAAAGCAAAAGAAAGGAAGATAGAAAGTTCAATTCAATAATTTAAAAAAAGAAATCTACTAACCTATTTCCCTATCTTTTATCCATGAATGATTTATAATACATTTTGGTACTATCTGGAAAAATATTGGTGTTACGACTTATACAGATCTTCCATATGCTGGTGCATCATATTAAAAAGTATTATACCAGACTTAATGCGTTTGTTTAACCAAAATAATGACTACTAGTACAATCTGATTCACTGCCAGCAAGTCTTCCCTTCCACTGCACTCTTGCAGCATTAGTACATGTCAACACAGTGAAAAGGCAAATAACATCCTGGAATTATTACGAAAACAGCTTTGACCTCATGGACCCCCTTGATAGTCTCAGGGACCCTCTATAAGTATGCATACCAAATTAGAACCCCTGTGTTAGAATAAAGAATTATCCCCATTTTTATGGAAAAGAAAATTTGTGTATAAAAAAGTAAAAATCTTGAGGGCTGGGTATTTAGTTCAGTGGTTCTGCCGCCTGCTGGTACCAAAAAAAAAAAAAAAAAAAAAAAAAAAAAATCTTGGGCCAGGGATTTAGCTCAGTGGTTCCACCGCCTGCCTTGCAAGCACAAGGACCCAAGTTTGATCCCAATACAAAAAAAAAAAATCTTATTGAGTCAAGGAAATATATAAATGGGGAGTAAAAGTATAGTTTTTGTGTTTGAAGTTGCTATCATCTTAAAATATACTTATATTTATGTCAGCTCCCTAGGAGACACAGAAAATACCTGGAAAAGGAAGCAAAGTATGTCACTCCCAAAAAATAAATAAATAAATAAACAAAACACAAAGGAAAACTGGAAAAAGGCTAAAAAACTACAAGATAGATTTATGATTTTAAAGGGCCGGGGGGATTTAGCTCAGCGGTTCAGTGGCCTCTGCCTTGCAAGTGCAGGACCTGAGTTTGATCCCAGGTGCCAAAAACAAAAATAAAACAAAACAAAAAAACAGAAAATGATTTTAAGACTGGCAGTTAAGTCTTAGTCTATCAATAATTGCATTAAATATAAATTGATTATATTCCCCCCAAAAAGACAGAGTGGCTGAAAAAATAAGACACAATGTATTGTCTACAAAGACTCAAATCTTTTAGATTTAAAGATAAACACAGACTAAAAGAATGAAAGATGATACTCCATAAAGATGGTAAAAGATGGTCCATGCAAACGGCAACCAAAAGAGTCATACATCAGACAAAATAGATTTTGACTCAAAAATTTTAGCTCAAACATTGACAGAACTGAGGAGAGAAACAGACACTAACTTAGTAATAACTTCAACAATGAACAGAACTCAAGACAGAAAATCAGTAAGGAAACAGAGGACTGAAACATTATAGAACAACTACACCTAATAGACCTAACTAAACAGCAGCAGAATATCTATTTGTAAGTATATACAGAACATTCTCCAGCATAGATGAGATGTTAGGTCATGAAAACAAGTCTTAACAAATTTAAAAAGACTGAAATCACTGCAAATACCTTTTCTAATCACAATAGAAAGAAAACAGAAATCAATAGCAGAAAGAAAACTAAAAAGTTCAAAAAATATGTGGATGTTAAAAACACTCTTGCCGGGTGTGGTGGTGCACGCCTGTAATCCCAGCACTCAGGAGGCCGAGTCAGGAGAATCGCTGAGTTCGAGACCAGCCTGGGCTACATAGTGAATTCCAGGTCAGTCTCAACTACATAGTGAGACCCTGTCTCAAAAAAACAAAACAAAACAAAAAAAACACACTCTTGAACTGATGAGCCAAAGAACAAATCAAAAGGGAAATCAGAAATTATCTCCAGGTAAGCGAAATACAACATATTAAAACTTTCAGGATACAGCAAAAGCAGTAGTTTATAACAGCAAACATCTACATGTAAAATTAAAAGATCTAAAATTAAAAAGCTAATTTCATGCCTCAAGAAACTAAGGAATAAAGAGCTAAGCTCAATGTTAGCAGAAAGTAGACAAATAAACCAATGAGCCAGAATAGAGAATCCAGAAATAAATACAAACATCTAAATGACCTTTGATTCAGCGCACTAGGCTCTTATTAAGTGAAATAAATTGGACACATGTTTAAATACCTTATTGTTTCTCTGGTGTGAGAGAAACTGTGGAAATAAGGACTGAGATATATCATAAGGACTAAGATGTTGGGAAATGGGAAGACAGTGTTCAAATGGGAAGGGGAACAATGGAGGAGGAAGGGAGAAAGGAGGGAAGGGACAAGGAAAAGAGTGAAAATAGAAAGAAAAAAATGAAAACAAAGCTTGTGTACTCAGGGAGGGGAGGTAGCTTGAGAGAGAGAGTAGGATGAAATTTATTAAACTAAAAAATAAATAAATAAATAAATAAAAAAGACTACTAGGCCCTTAATCATGACATGCAACTTAAATGGATTAAGAAATGCCTAGCACATTAGTCACACAGTTCTGAGAGTGTGGATGACCGAGGGGGGAAGACCTACTGCAGCTGGGACCTACTGAGTGCTGGGATTACAGGCGTGCACCACCACACCCGATAGCCTTTTAGCCTGAATGGAATAAAAAAGGAAAGATGAAGCTCTTCTTTTTGAAGAGCTTCAGTCTTCACAGTTGCCTTTGGATATCAGTTTCCAGGTCACCAGTTTCTTTGGTCTTCCAAAACAGACTCATCAACAATCCTTCAGTAAACTTTCAGGCCTTCAACTTTGGACTGCATCCTTGATCCCTTTTTCTGCAGCTTCCATCTTCTTAGCTGAGCAGCTAGACTCTCTAGCGCTCATCATGACAGCCATTGTGGACTCTCCCACTCTGATTCTCTAAGACTACCTAATAAATCCCCTTGTATAATCATATGTAGATTTTCTATTATTCCATTGCTCTGGAGAACTATAAATAAACAAATACTAAGAATACAAAAGGAAAGGATAGCATCTTCATAAAATAAAGCTGGGAAACTTGAAATCCAAATGCAAAAGGAGGAGGATGGACTCATATCTTATACCTTATAGTAAAATCAACTCAAAAAGGAAAACAGATCTAAGAGTAGGACCCAAAACTATAAAATTCCTCAAGTAAACATAGTGTAAAAGATTCAGAACATCACATAAGGCAATGTTTTCTTGGTTACAACATCACAGCACAAGTTTACAAAATAAAAAAGGTAAGTGGGACTACAGCAAACTAAAAAGCTTCTGTACAGCAAGAAAACAGTGAAAAGTCAATCTATGGGAAGGGAAAAAATTTTAAAAGCATCTACCTGATTTGGTATTAATACCCAAAATACACAAGGAAATCCTAAACCCAATAGCAAAAGGAAAAAAAAAAAAATCAAAACCTAAATAACTAAAAAAGTAAATATCTGAATAGACATTATTCCAAAAAAGACATACATGGCCAGTCTGAATTACATAGTAAGACTCTGTCTCTAAACAAATAAATAAATAAATATGATTTAAAATTTTAAAAAAATTTAGGTCAGGCATGGTGGCACACGTCTGTAATCCCAGCACTTGGGAGGCTGAGGCAGGAGGATCACCATGAGATCCAGGCAAGCCTGGGCTTCATACTACAATTGAGGCCCACCTATACTACACAGTGAGACTATGTCTCAAAAAAACCTGAAAAACAAGTGTGAAAAACTAAAGTATAAATGGTAGAACCTTAAGTAATAAATCTTTCAGTACATAAA